AATTTTTCATGGTTTTCGTTGTCTACTTTTTTCTTTCTCAGGTTAGCATATTTATCAAAATTGTATAAAATCAAAGAAAAAAAAGACTTTTCTTGTTTTCCCATCTCAACGTAAAAAAAAACGAATAGAAAATAAATAATTGCCAAAAAATTATTCGAAGAAATTTTTGCGGAGATAAATTTTTTTTGAGTGCTGTTATGCTTTTCTGAGTTTTTCTTTTTTTTTTCCTTTTTTTCGGGTTGCCACAAAAATGGCGAATAATACACAAGTTGAACCAGCGAAGAAAAAATTGAATATTCTCAGCAAATAAAGTTTAGAACATTTAATTCTTTAACCATTTTCCAGACAAAATGTCTACGGAAAATAGATTGTCGGGAAAAAAAAAAAGAAACAGCACCAAATAGAAGAGGGAAAATAATGGTAGAAAAAGTTAATCATCAATATTGAATATTAAATTTTGCTCTCAGTTTTCTTCCTCAGACTATTACAGCACACATGAATAGAGACAAAAATAAAAAAGAAGCCAAAAAAGGTATTTGGTAAATCAGGTAATAAAAATCAGAAACAAGCTAAGACAGAACAGTTGACAGAATCAGATACCGATGATATGTTTGAGCGTCGGATAGTTGGCTGCCGTAAATGCAATAACCATCAATGCCAACAGGATAAATACTGCCACATGGATACCCTGAAAAATTGCAGATAACCTTTAAATTTGAAGCTTTTTGCGAGAAGACGAAGTGGGTTGAAAAAAAAACATTGTATTCTGGAAACATTTACTGACTCTCTTATTTTGTCTCCGTTAGCCTACCAAAGGAGAAAGTTGAAAAACCATCTTTAAGTAATCATTAAAAAAAAGATCTAAAATTTTTTTCTCTCCCTCTAATAAAAAATTAGTGTCGTTTAACCAAAAAGATATTCAAAATCCCCGGAATAAAAAAAAAGAAATTTAGAGAAGTTAAGAAAAAAAAATTTTTTTTCTTTAGAAATTCAAAGCAGAAAACAAATTCAGTGTAACCAAAAGAAAGGAAAAAGGAAAGAAAAGTTAGCTGTTCCATCTTATCAATTCCGTTTTTTGTTCCGTCGTTTAACTTCCTGTTTTTGCTTCTACTTTTTTTTTCCCTCCTTCCCAACATCTTCTGCTATTCCTTTTTTACTCTGTCCTTCCTCAAAAAAAAAAAAAAAAAAAAAAAAAAA